TTTGAGGATAAAGGCCTGAGGATGTTTGTAATTTTCAAATGAGATATTCAGAGATCTCCCACCCATCACTAGCCCCGCTCCAGCAATTCTTGGATTCATTTTCATTTTAATTTTTAATCTAAAAATAATAATATTAACATTTACCCTTATAAGCTTTTGGGAATGTAAATACTTTGCATTTGTTTTTAAAAGCTAGATATTCCCAGGAAATGTTATATTAAAATAGATTATCATTAGTTTCATTAAACTAACTAACTAAAGTACATGCTGAGTTCAAGGAAGAAAAATGTGGGAATAAAACTCCCTGTTAATATAACCTTATTCCATCTCTCATTAGGTTCCTTTCAATTTACTGATTTGGCATTTTGCAAATTGCAGAACACCCACTAACAGTATGGAGCTTCCCCACAAAACAGTGAACGGACATGCTGTATTTGAAGTGGGTCTCATTTTTAAATCTCGATTTCATTATACATGTTATCCCATGCTATCAACTTCTTAGCTGAATAACTACCAAATTACCCTACTTGCACTGTAGAAATATAACCCCATATCCCAGAGTGGAACCACGTGCATGCTGGTTAACAAAGAAGGGTCAAGTCTAATATTAGTTATTTCAGTAACCAAAATTGTTAATGTTTGTTTCAAGAACACTAAGTCTGATGTGCCCAAGATACCTAACTAAATAGTGTCAAAGTTATAAAGGAAACAGTCCATGCAAATGATCTCCAGTTCAAAACAAAGCAATGTGTAAGGCAAGTGCCAATTCACAAGAAATCCCTTCCCCAAAGCCAACTGTTACAAAAGTCTAGTTAAGACCATTTGTCCCAAGGAAATTTCACTATATACACATCAGTATTACTGTACTGCATGTCCTAAAGTTAAGTACTTATATCAACAACAGTACTTATCTGAATTGAGTTCTGCAAACAAATCCAGATATAAAAATGGCTATTAACAAGACTTATTGGCTGCAACTTTTACTAGGCCTTCCACTGAGTCTTTGTATGTATCCCTGTTGTTTTCTAAACTATCTCTGATTGTTGTGTTTGCTGTTGCTAACAAATGAAGGCTATGCTTATAAACCTGTGAATTGACATTTAAATAGGCTTATCAGTCAAGCATATCAATCCTAGAGTTGCATAGGAACACATTTCTTTTCAGCAGAACTTCATATACATCTACTTGACAAAAACCTACTTTGAATGGCATTTAGTCCAAGCTAAATGCATACAGAACCCCTGCAACATTATGTTTTCAGGATAGAATACAATTATTCCTCCATAAATTGCTGGCTTCCCCCAGGATTTCTTGTACCATCTATTGAGTTATTTCCAAAAACCCTCTTCCAACAGCAAGAATGCTGTACTACTCGGACTGTCCTCCTAGAGAAGCCCTGAAGGTCATATAACTGCTGGCAATGAATGTACCCATTCAGCAAAAGAAAGCTGTATTCTTTCTGCCTCTAGCACTTTTCCACTGCTAAGGTCTCCTAAAGTTTGCATGTCTAGCCAGCAGGTCAAATTTCTGAGTCTGCCTGGTGATCTCCAAACTTGTTGCAATCAGCATGATGCTTCAAAAAAGTACTTCTCCCAATATATTATGTCATATTGCTTTTAAGTAACAGTGACAAAAAAAGTTACAAATCCTATTCATCAGATTCCTTTTTAAAGTTTTAAAATGCACGTTTACAGTAATTATTACTGAAATATTTCACTAGTTTTAAAACCAGTATGACAATCATATAGATTTGTTTCTTGTATTAGTATTCATTTATTGCTGCATGTGATCCTGCAAATTCTCTCATCAGAACCATCTTTCAATGGAATTATATCATCAGAATTACTCTAAACCAGAATGGGTACGATCAAATTCTAAATGGCCAGTATAAAAGGCACAGAATTTTATATGTCCATGCATAGTTCACAATTTTGATAGGCTTCTAAGACTGGCCATTATATTAATATAGCATTTTTGGTCACATCAAACTCTTGAATTTTATACATTTTTTCTTCATTCTTCTAATATATATATATA